TCTAGAACTTCTAAAAAGAACTTTTTCAAAATTAAATGGACTTCAGTAGGCCTGAAGGAGGCGGGTTTTGTTTTCCTAATGAGGGTTGGATTTGGAATCAAGTTGTGATGTTGGTTTATTTTCTTCAAAGTACTAGCTCTGTAAAAATTTGGGACGTTAAAGTAACTTATCTGGGTCTTGGTTGCTTAACAACTACATAGGAATAATCAGACGCACTCTGCAGAGCCGTCGTGAAGGAGAAGAGAACGAGGCAGCTCAGGGGTGTCCTTCCCAGTGCTGGTCAGACTGGGGTCCTCATTTGAAAACTGAGTGGATGCAGTCGTAAGCTCTATCGGCCATGAGGCTTAGGAGCTATTTTCCCTTTCAGTGGGGGAGGAGGAAGCTATTTGGTCAGTAGAATATTGATGGGGTTACTATGTACTTACCAACGACAGCAGACACTCGCTCTTTGTGGGTGAGGTGGTCTTAAGTATTTCCATATAAGCTGCACTAGATGAGCAATGAGGAACTTGGGTTAAATGTAACAACGTGATTATAATGAACCAACGTGAGGAAAATCTCCCGGATGGCAGGCACAGAGCCAGCCGTGCTCAAACTACTGTGGGTAACAGTCAAACGTGGCTTAGATCATGCACAGGGATTTCCAGGATAGTCCTCATTATCCTCCTCCTGGCCTCTCAGAGAGGAGGGGTAGCTAGTCACCACCGTTCGGCTTCACTTTATGTTTTATTTATTTGAGACAAGTACTTGCTGTGCAGCTCAGGCTAGCCTCGAACTTGCAATCCTCCAACTCAGTCTCCAAGTGCCCAGGTTCCAGGTGTGCACAACAACAGTTGGCTTAAACGGACTCACTTACATAGACAAACACAAGAAACATCTTAGGAACAAGGCTTAAAGCAACACAATGTTTTTCTTTTGACAAAGAATTAAATTTTTGTTTAGAAGTGGAATTACTTAAACTGGACACAAATTTGAAATTTTCACTATGTTCTGTTCACAGCTTCCTGTGAGCAGCTCCACAACAAGGCTCAGCCTTAGCTCAGACTCCAGCAGAGCTCGTCTAGGGCAAATCGGCCAACTTCCTTGAGGTCTTGCTCGTTTGCATTTATCTATGCATAAAGTAAGCTCGCCCCCTCTTTTTTAAAAGAGCAATCAATGTCTCATAAAAGCAATGAAGTGATGGCGACTTGAAAGGATGAGATGTAACCACTGTGTTCTTTTGAGTGGTAACAATATGGCCACTGTTGGCTTCAACCCACAAAAATAGCATTGTTGTCTAGAGATAACAAATTAACTTTAGAAACTCTGAAATTTGAAAATTAGAAAAAAAAATTCTCAAGAAGGCATGCTAGTATTCTGAGAACTTCTAGCCTAGCAGTGTGACTTGTGAGCCCTGGAGATGAGCCAGGCCAGTGATACGATAGCAAAGGCCAGGATGCTGCCAACAGAAGCTGCCGAGTAAGGGAGTGCCCAGAATGTCAGGACATTTCAGTTGCCACAGAAACAGCATCTTCTTCAGATCTTAATGAACATGTCTATGAACATGCTGAAATGCTTTATGCTTCTAATAAGATGAATTAATATAAAAAGTAATAGAATTTCACATTTTTTTCAAACACCATTTATGGGCCTGAGCTGACACAGTAGGATAGAATCCAAGGAAAGGGGACTATGCCACCTGACCAAAGAGAACAGTTCTTTCAGAGCTTTGGTTAGATACAGTGTTTGTTTTAAAACACAAAAAACAATGGGAAAACTTTAGCCTCTGAAGACTCCTCTGGTCTTCTTTCTCGGTTTTGCTTGTGTGAGAGGTATCAGGCTTGGTTGTGCTGGAGGTAGAATTCACTGGACCACAGTGTCAAGTTTGGATGTTTCTTCAAGTTTAAAAATGTAAGAAACAGAATCCTCAGCAATAGAGGACATGAGTGAAGCATGTTACTAACATTTGTAATTAAAAAGAAAGGAAGAAAAAAAAAAACTCTGCATGCCTAAGATACAGCTGTATGCTAACCTCTTCGTGTCCAGTGGGATCTCCTGCACCAGGCTGATAACCTATCACCTGGGAAACCATCTCCTGGAGAGAGGCCTGTGGGCTCTAGGGAGGTAGCACCTACAACTGCTTTTATTTATTGTTTATGTGTGTGGGTGTTTTACCTGCATATATGTCTGTGCTCTATATTCATGTCTGGTGCTCACAGGGGCCAGAGCGGGAGTCAGATGCAGGGTGGACTGCCCTGTGGACGTTTATAATGGAATCCAAGTCCTCTGAAGAACAGGCAGCGCTCTTAATGGCTGAGCCATCTCTAGCCCTCTAATTAATTAATGTAAGTTTTTTGGGACAGAGTTTCACTCTGTAGCCCAAGATAGCTTAAAACTCACTGGGTAGCCTAGGTTGGCTTGAACTCATAGCAAACCTCCTGCCTCAGTTTTCTTAATGCGGAGATTACAGGTGTAAGCCACCAGGCCTAACTGTTAGAGCAATCTAAAAGGTATTGTGGAATGATCTCACCCAAGATCTAGAGGTCCTCTCAGAACACAGATGCAGGGCTCAGAAGCGACTTGCATTTAGGTTAACTAGTGAAAGAATTTCTTTTTTTAGGGCTGGGAATGGAACCCAAGGCCTTATACATGCAAGGTAAGCATTCTGCCTCTGAGCTGCTGCCCCAGCTCAAACTTAAAGATCTTGATAACTATGCCAGCTATGAAGCACAGGAACCCAAAGGTGAGTAGAGAACAGCTGTAGCTTGCTGCATCCCTTCTCCTGTGGAGATGGTACACAACTGACTGAAAAGACAGAGTAACTGCTTTATCTGAACCTCAGCCACAAGCTCTCTGGCCTCCACAGCACAGCCATCCATGCAGAGTTACTTTGCCGTGCCAGTGGGCTCACCCAGCTATACCACACGTTAATTTAAAGTGTGTTTCACATGCACACATCTGCACAGGTAACAAAGTTGTACACGGCATATGACAGTCCTTGAAGCACGTGTGTTACTCCCATGACCTGAGGAGGCCTAACTCAGAAAAGACTTCTCATCCCATCAGGTGTATGTGAAGATCTGACCCCTGAGTTTTTAGTATAATTGTTCACTTCTGAATTCTGAGTATTTACAATGTATCAAATAGGTGATGGGCAGCAAACTGAGGCAGAACTGGTTATGATGTGCTAAGTTACAATTAACAGGACGATTAACAGCCTCTGGTCAGTTATTGCTACTTCTGGAAATGTTGAAAAGATCCCAGCATACCTAATGGCAACATTTTGAAGCTATTTAAAATAAAATTGAGGGTTAGTACTTGAGCTGGAAGCTCTGCAACTTGGCCATACAAGTCACATCTCCATCTTCCATGCAGAGCTGATGAACGACTCTTTGTTGTCCACAAACAAAATACCCTTTGGGTGTTTAGCAAACTAAAGAAGACTGACCTAAAGTTTTGTGTCTTTCTCGTCTTCTCCCCAACTCCCCACCCTAACCCCCCCCCCCCAAGTCAGGGTTTCTTTGTGTAGCTCTGGCTGTCTGGACACTAGCTCTGTAGACTAGGCTGGCCTTAATAGAGATCCACCTGCCTCAGCCTCCCAAGGACTGGGATTAAAGGTATGTGGCACCTCACCTGGCTTCTCTATCTCTTCTAAACCAAAACCTAAAATCACAAGTGGAAGCCACTACAGACCAAGACATGGGATCAAGTCAGAACACTGGTTATCAATTACCTGTTATTTACACAGAGGGAGACACTGAAACTCATCACTACCCAGGGAAAGTTACCTTGTACACAGAACTACACATGGACTTAGTCACTAGAAAGGGAACAACATGAGACCTTAAGGCAGCATTGGCTGAGTCTTCTCTGGTAAAGAGTCACATACTTCAGTGACTAGTGAGAGACTTTAAAACAATGGTTTTAAGTAAATACTAAATAAAACAATGCTTTGAAAAAAATAACTAATTTAAGGATTGTGCAATATGAATGTGCATTGGGATTTAAATTTGGGACTAGCAAGCATACATAAGAACATAATGGTACAATTAAAGCAGTCTTTCCTGGAATAGAAAATAGAGTAGAAATTACTACTATTAATTAGCACTCTTTGGGCTCCTTTTTAAAAACATGTATTCACAGTAATTGCTAGAAAAGTCTGCTTTTTAAGTAACACATGGTCAGGTTGACTTTTATTGATGTGAAATGATTTTAAATGCATTAATAACGTACAATGATGCTCTGATCCAGTAACTATGTCCCTGTGTTGGGCTTGCTTTCCTGGCAGGCTGCCTAACTCAGTGTCGCTAGCATAGTGCCAGCCTACAGGATTCCCAGGGTCCTTAAAACGCCCTGGGGAGTGTTTTCCTTGCGGCTTACTCTGTTGATTCTCTAGTCAAGCATTGCTGCTAGCCTCACAGATCCCGGGACTCCTGCCAACACAACTGATGTAAAAAGCAGATTAAACAACAAAACAAACAAAAGGAAGTTTGAACAGCAAGTGTTCTCAAAGGAGAACTGGACAGACGCAGGCACTTCTGCTTCAGGAGGTTTTTACATCTGGGTCACAGAGGGCTTTCCAAGTCCACCCTCCGCTAACTAGAACTCCTCACGGTGCTTACCACCGGGTCCACTGCACATGGTGTCTCCGACACACCCTTTCAGAGAACTCATCTTTCTTTCACCAAACTGCCTCTAAGGACAGCACGGCTTTATCTTGGTGAGCATCCTGCTGCCCTGGCAGAGCATCTACCAACAAAGGGTGCTGAGTGCAAGCTTTCTCTACTATGTCTGCCTCTCCTGCTCTAGGTCCCTATGTGAGAAAAACAAACAAATAAACAAACAAAAGACCAAAAAACCCAACACAGTGTAAATAATTCTATACCATTCTAAAGCTACTGGGCCACTGGGATATTTTTAAGTAACTACTCAAAAGCATTTTTTTTCCTTTTCTTTTTTTGTTTTTCAAGAAAACCTGTGCTAAAAAGGCACTAGATAAAATGAATTTCTTCACTCTTGTATATAGTAATTTTATATTGTGTTATATTCTATGATTTAACAAGGTGTCACACATTTAGATAAAACATCCAAATTATTCAGTCCTCTCCTGTCATGTAAAAGTGAATCCCAAGTCTGAGGAATGGCTGGCTGTCGTAGTGGAGGCCAGCTGGATCATGGAGTGAAGACATCAGCCTCTGTGGCTTCAGAACCTGCTTGTTGACGCCTGGCCTTGGCCACTGAGTAAGCAGGACTGTGGCCTGGCCCTGAAGGCTCACTGGCAGCAGCTATGGGAGCCCAGTCGCCTGGAGACCTGAGTGAAGGAGACGAAGGTGAAGTTCTCACAGTTTTCCAGCTTGACTTTCCTGGCTAAATTTGGGACAATTCCCCGGAGAGACCGTAACCCCATTCTCTGTTCTTCGTACCACACGCTGCCCATATCTGTGGCCTCCTTCCGGGCTGTAAGGTAGAAGGGAGACTTGGCCTCCATTTGGGTGGGTGGCCGGTGGATATACATGTACTTGTAGAGGAGGCAGTAGGGACACTGCTTGTGTCCCCTGGAGTGCTCATGGTAGATTTTCCCATGGCACACCCTCGTCGAACCACTCCGGCTCTCCCGTTTGACACTGTCTGTCCGTGCAAAGTAGGGCTGGTTTTGTGGATCTTTGAGCAACTCGATGTCCCCGTACATCAGATCTGCATGCTCCTGCAGTGTCCTCATATTCAGATACTGGCTGTTGTACTTGACCACCGTGGACAGGAGAGTAATTGGGCTGTCATCCCCTAGACACCCTGCCTGCCACATCTCCTCCTCATCAGAAAGGGAGAAGTAGACGATATTGCGAGAACGGGCGCCTGACATCCCTGCCTTGTTCAGGACCCACAGCTTCTCCTTGAGTTTCTTGGTGGAAGAGCTGAAGGTGCTGCTGGTGATAGAGAAGCCCACGCCCGCATTCTTCAGGATGCGGTCCAGGCCGCGGCGGATGGCATGAAGTGAGGTAGCCAGGAAGTCTGAGCCGTCGCTCTTCTTGACAGTGACATAGAAGTTCTCAAGCAGCTCATTCAGCTTCACCGCAGGGATCTTAAAGGAGACAGACACTGAGGTCATACATCTGAGGACACCCGAACAGCCGGCCCTCTTTACCCCAATCCTCACCAGGGGCTACACTATGGAGAGGATAGTCTCTTGACCTCTAGAGGATCGAACCCTTCATGCAATATAGTCAAGCAGTGACTTTCAAACTGGATGATCTAGGCCTCATCAGTAACATACAACATACAGGTAGCCACAGTCTCAAAGTGCACAAGAAATGCTCATGGTGGACATGGCCCTCGAGTTCCCAGGGGTTTCAAGGAACAATGAATACACACCCCTTTCAAACCTGTCTCGAGTACATACATGCATACAGATTACGACTGTGACTGGCCTTTTGTAACACTGACCTTCCTCTCAGGAAGGTCCTTTCTTTCTGCTTGCAAACCATTTGCACTCCTCTCCTGTAGTAAAGCTCAGGCATCCTCTATAAAGGAATCTGTAACTTGACCTCTGAATCATGCCAGCACTGATGTCCTTGATACCTGCCCATGCTGTTTGGTACGCACTACTAAGCATGGGCTTCACGGGAAGAGAAACTTATACAGAAACGTCCTGCTCCATGATCTTCTCCTTGGATTTATCTGACTACATCCTAACATACCTCTAGCTTACTAGTCAATACGTTTTCAATATCAGGCTTCTGAGTTTGACTCATAAGAAATCTTTGTGTTCAAGATGGAAAAGCTGCTTTGGAGCTTGTTCACACAGAAAGCAAGTCTTACTTTGTGTTTTTTGTGTATCAACATTTGTGACTTACACACACACACACACTTTGTGAGGTGAGGTTTCTCTGTGTAGCGCTGGCTGTCCTAGAACTCGTTCTGTAGATCAGGTAGTCCTTGAACTCAGAGATCTGCCTGCTCTGCCTTCCCAGTGCTGGGATTAAAGGTGTGTGCCACCACCACCTGGCAAAAATAAATTTTTGAAAAAGTAATATCCATAAAAAATTCAATTTAAAAACAAAAATTGGCCGGGCAGTGGTGGTGCACACCTTTAATCCCAGCACTTGGGAGGCAGAGGCAGGCAGATTTCTGAGTTCAAGGCCAGCCTGGTCTACAAAGTGAGTTCCAGGACAGCCAGGGCTACACAGAGAAACCCTGTCTCAAAAAACCAAAAAAAAAAAAAAATTGACTAAACTACAATTAGATATAAATATACTCTTTTATTAATAATTAATATTATTTTATTAAATATACTCTGATAACATAAACTAGAATAATTTGTTAGAAAACTTTATTCTCAATAAGCAAATTGATTATATACCCCAAAAGCTAGAAAAGTAAATCAAATTCATAAATAGTAAAATGAGCCAATAAAAACAAAAGTCTAACTTAATAAAGGACGAAGGGGAAAACATCCACCTTTGAAAAGACCTATCAAGTTAACTGAGAAGAAGAGAAGAAGCAGAGAGGTGGACTTCAGAATATGAGGAACCAGAAGGGCAACATATGATGAGAGGAAAGAACACAAAAGACCCTCGCCCTTACCCTCACCCCCTACCTTTCCCCACCTGCACAATGTCCCCTGAAGCTTGGCAACTGCAAGATCCTGCTTGGCAACTGCAGATAGACTCAAAGCAGTGTACCATATCATCTGAAGAATAGCAGGGAGACCATAACTCAAGCAGTGTACCATATCTTCTGAAGAATAGCAGGTAGATCATAATTCAAGGCAGTGTACCGTATAGACCATGACATGTTTCAAGGCACAGGCCAAGAAGATTCTGTACTTTTCCACCACCTGGCCCCTCTTACTCCCTCCCCTTGTAAAACATGCTATAAAAAAGCATTTTATGTTAAAAAAAAATTAAAAAAAAAAGAGCACTGCATGCTTCGTGTGCATTAGCTTGACTATCTGTATCATCTGAATGATTTTAGTTTCAAAGTTTTGTTTAGTGTTCATGGGCGCGCGCGCACGCGCGTGTGTGTGTTATGCCTGCATGTATGTGGGCATACAAGCTGCTACCATTGTGTAATCTTACTCAGTCTTACTGTAGGGCTAGCAGTTAAACCAAATGCCTCCTATATGCTGGGCAAGCATTTGACTGCTCAGCTACCAATCCTTTTGGATTTAAACAGTTTAATCATATGGAAAAAAATCACAAAGGCTCTCCATTTTTATCTGACTCACATATAGAACATAAAAAGTTAAGACGTATGAATGTAACCCTACACACAGGCACCTTTCATGCTGCATGTAACTATGTTGGAAAAGGTATCTTCAGATTAACAGATCACCAAAAAAGCAACGCCTGGGCTGGGGAGATGGCTCAGCAGGGCAAAGTGGTCCTCACACAGGCCTGATGGCCTGCTAAGTCCCAGACTCATGCATGTGGTAGCATAGGTTGGGATGAAGCATCCCTCCAGTAAGATGGGAGGCAGAGACAGGAGAAGTGGCTGCAGTGCCCAGGCCGGCCAGCCCAGAGGACTGAGCCAGCAGAGATAAGAGACCCTGCCTCAGAAAAAAGGCAGAAGGTAAGAACTGACTTCCACAAGCTGCCCTTTGACCATCACATGTACACCATGGTACGTACATGTGCACACTCACACAGACAGCACAATAAACAAATACTAAAGAGTGTGTGCAAGCGAGTTCTGGGCAGTACAGTACAGTGTAAGATGCCAAGTGCCTGACTATTACATCACAGTCAAGATGACAGTAGAGTCACACTGCATCACAAGAGCCATTATCACAGTGTATGGATGACCCGTACATGCACAGACACTGACACGGGACGGAAAAAAACAGGTCTCTGAGAAATACTGGACAATTACTTTAAAGATGTGGTGTCTACTTTAAACTTTTTAGGACTGAATTTAAACTGATGTTGCAAGAAATCCATTTAATAAAAATAAAAGTATTTTGCAGGCAAGAACTATAAAAATAGGTCCACAATGAAAACTGGACTTCTCCTTATAAAATTAGAGGCATGATGGCATGCTGAACTAAAAAGGAAGGAAGGAAGGAAGGAAGGAAGGAAGGAAGGAAGGAAGGGAGGGAGGGAGGGAGGGAGGGAGGGAGGGAGGGAGGGAGGACATAAAAGGTTGTTTTCTGACAACTGGGTAGATCTGTTGGTTAGTACAACAGATTAGAGTAGTTGTGTACAAAGCATAAGATTAACTTTCTTTTTACTTATTTATTTTTGTTTTATGTGCACTGGTGTTTTGCCTGCATGCATGTCTGTGTGAGGGTGTCAGATCTTGGATTTACAGACAGCTGTGGGTGCTGGGAATAGAACCTGTGTGCTTGGGGAGAGCAGCCAGTGCCCCTGACTACCATCTCTGCAGCCCCAAGACCAGCTTCCTTATTAACAAGACTTTGTTAATTGGGATTCCTTTGGTTGTAGGAAAATAGTCAAACCTGACAAACCTGGGCCTCAAAGAATGCTACAGAATTAGGGGACTCCACAGCCACAAGATGTTCTCTCCCCAGCCCCAATCTCTTTTTCTCTGGCACAGGGAAACTAAAACCAAATGGAACTGTGCTCCACCCCGGTAGGATGAGGAAAAAGACGAGATGATAACACTGCGAGCTGGGACGTAAGGATGCTGGACACTCGCACGCCTTGACGGGAACGGAAAATGATGCAGTTGCTTTTGAAACCACCTGCTCCCTCAGTCTAAGCCATATACCCAAAAGGCCTGACAGCGTACGCCCAAACAACAAAAACCATGTATGAAGTTTTACTGTAGCGTTTTTCATAATGACCAAAGTGTGGAAAAAAACCTAAATGTCCACCAGTAGATAAGTATATAAACAAAATGAAGCACATACATCTGCATGGTATTTTCTTCAGCAATAAAAAGAAATCTTGAGACATTAGGCTAAACAAAGCTCACTTTTTCCCCTTCAGACACAGAGAACAAGTAAGTCTTAAAGAACAGTGACAATTCTACTAATCTGCAGAACCCAGAGAAAGCAGACTCATAGAGGCAGACGGCAGGACAGTAGTTGCCAGGGCTGGAGCAAAGAGGAAATGAGAGATGTATTATTTTATATTATCTGGTGAGTACAGAGTTTCCATTTGGAAGGATGAACAAATCCCAGGAATGAATAATTGTGATGAACACTGTGGGCACAATGAATGCTTCGAAGCTGCACACTTAAACACTGACCATCATGGCAAAGTATCTGAAGGGTGCAGCAGTGGCACTTCTATCTGTGAATAATCAAGAACATCTTACAGGAGTTGATGCCAGTTCAATGGGAGAGAATTATGCCTACTGCTGTAAACCCAGCTGTCAACCCATGGCCGGTGAGGTGCTAGACCCCAGAGAGAAGCCACTACTGTGACTTTACTAAACCAGTGTAATGTCTAACCACGGTCTACACACTTATCTTTATAGCCACAGGTAAACGTATCTCTCATCCCTTATCAAAACAACTTCTCTTTGCTGCAGACGAAGACCGTCACAGAAATCCACAAATAAAATGGAAGACCTACCTGTGGGGTCACCAGCCCCAAGCAACACATCTACAATACAATCTCTGCCCTTTAGGCTCTGGTAATATCATGGAAGAGGGCAAGGGAAGATTCTTAGAGCCAGAGGGCCCGGATGTGTGCTGTGAGATAAACAGTATCTTCTATATAGGACACTGAAGCTGTACCCATGAAATCTCAAAGAAATGGTCATCTGAAGGAGACCTCGTGGATGGAGGAATCCTACAAGGCCCCACCCACAGAAGAAGAGCTAGAGGCAACTAATGGCGGCAGAAAGAGGGACAGTCAGTCTGCTCCAGGGATGAGCTCCTAGGTAGGTCAGTCCTAAACACATCCACATAGAAGCAACACTAAATGAACTCAGCAGATCGTGTGTGTGTGTGTGTGTGTGTGTGTGTGTGTGTGTGTGTGTGTGTTAAAGAAAGGTACAGAGTTTGATTCCATTTTATGAGGCCAAATAGAATTTCCTAATATAGACACACAGAATGCACACACCCCACAAAACAACAATTAGAGAAGAGTCATGCATTTGAGATGGAGTTGC